TGTAACTATACCTGACCATGTGGTTCAGAAGCCTTTGGAACTGGCTTGTGCAAAGGGGAAAAGTTAGGCAAAGGTTCAGAAATGCTGGCTGAAGAAGTAGAGTTCGAATGCCTTAGAATATTATGTGTGGGAGATTCTGATCAAAACTCAGAAGAGCAGAGCCATTGAAAACCAGGATCAGGAAGTTTCTGCTGGGATGGTCTGCGCTGGCTACTGGACTCTAGACAATGTATGTTATGCCTTGGCAGAAATTTTGACTGTATTTTGCTCATGTCCAGAGACTTTGCCTGAGACTGAGATTAAGGGCAGCAGGCTAATTAATCTCTCAGAAGAAATTTTAAGACAGTCTTATGTTGAGGCCATGGCATGGCTGTTGCTAGGGGTTTTTAACCAGATTTTTGATGAGACTCAAGAGCAAAGAGCCCAGCAGAGCGACGTAAAACATTTTGAGTTTGGCCAGAAAGGAAACTCGCAACTCTATCCTTTGCAGCTTCAAAAGTGCAAAAGTGAAAAATTTGCCTTAAAAAGAGTCCCAGACCACCATGTTCCAGAATGACAGCTATCTAAAGAATTTGTTCCTCAGAATTTGGTTCAGAGTGCTCAGCAATCCAGGTAATTGACCTCTACAACAACCAAGATAGAAGGAAGCCTGGCTACTACTCCAGATGGCAACAGACCTTGGCATCATCCACCAGGCACTATTTTTAGGTACATGAAGAATGCAGGAGTTGTGGGGTCAGGAAGGCTTCCACTGAGATTTCAGAAGGCCTGGGAGGCCAGGCAGTGTGCCCCTGAGAAGACAGTGTGTGAAGCAGTGAGTGCAAAGCCAAAGCCAAAGGTGCAGTGGAGACCTCAGAAGTTTGGAGAATTCAGAAACATGGATCATTGAGGAAAACTGCAAGGAGGATGTAGAGCCATCTCAAAAGAGAAGCCTGAGAGAGTCTACAACCATCTACAGAGCCACCCAAGCCCTTTGGAGTTTATACTTTACCACAAATTTCTGGGGATGCTGGAAATGGAACTGTGGGATTCAATGTTTGCCCTGGTGGATTTTGGACTTGCTTTGGTCCCATTCCTTTGTATCCCTGTTTGTAACTTGGAATGGAAATATCTATTTTGTCCCATTGAATGTTGGAAGTGTTTAACTTTCTTTCATTTGTATAAGGACTTGCAGCTAAGAGTTTGCCTTAAATCTCAGAGGAGACTTTGGACTTGGAATTTTTAGCAATGCTGAAACTGTTAGGACTTTGGCAACTTTTACAGATGGAGTAAGTGCCTTTTGTGTAAAGGAATGTACATGAGTCTCTCATCAGCTTTGCCTGAGCATTTCTGTTGCCTTGTACCTCAATATATGGAATACTGTTATTTTTTAAAATCTTTGCTGATAATGAAAACTTTTATTTATTTTTCTTTATGCAGTATTAGGAATTGGCAACTTTCTTTTGTTAAATTTCTTTTATGGGGCTAGGGATTTAGGTCAGTGGTTCTGCCACCTGCCTTGCCAATGCAAGGACCCGAATTTGATTCCTGGTACCAAATAAATGAATTGATAAATAAATAATAAATTTCTTTTAAGTTCCAGATACTACATGCATAAAATTAGTATAGTTCTTGTCATTTCATTTTGCATCTATTTGATTACTTTTCCTCTTTTTTCAGAAAACAGACTTGAAGTAATTAAGTAGTTTTTCTTAGAATATGGGCGAGAAATGGCAAAAGATTCAAATCTAGGTCTCTCATTTCAAAGCCTATTGTTCTATTAAGTTTTACATATATTCTGTCATACAATAGTACTTCTTTCCAGTTTATTTTATATTAAATATTTTAGCATGTCACCAAACCTTTGTTTTCTCACTTCTGAAAAGGCAGAATTTCCTAAGAACTTCCCTTTTAAGATCCTCTTAATACATTTTTTAAAAAATAAATCTTTTCTTTCAATTAGCTTTCTCTTAGGGCTGGGGATTTAGCTCAATGGCACTGCGCCTGCCTGGCAAGCACTAGATGCTGAGTTCCATCCTGGTACCAAAAAACAAAACAAACATTCAGTTAGCTTTCTTTTTATCCAAACTATGACAGAAGCCAAGGTCTTTTGGGATGCTAAATTTTGTATACTGAAACTAAAATACTCGATGAAGGTATTTCCCATGTGTGCCAGAGATAATCTCAGGCTCCTTTTGCAGAATGCAGACTAATGTAAATTAAGTTCAATTCTAGGTAACTTTGGAGAATATCTTCACTTGATCTTAGCCAAAAGGCCGAGAAGCGATAGGAGAATATCTTTAAACAGTGTTTTAGCAAAATGTGCAGGCACATAAATTTGGGAAATGCTGCACAGTGACATCCTTTGTCAGAGTCATGTTAGCCTATAAGATACTCTGAGAACAGTTTCCAGAAACAATCTTGAAAAGTCAGCTTAATATCATTTCATAAACTTGATTAAATGCATTATTTATTATAACCTCTTTTGTCTAACTCAGTGGCAACTTTCCTTTTCTATGAGACGTTCTCTGCTGATTGTTTAAGAAATTAGGAATAGTACTAATTAACTGTTGCTGCTTTTTATTTTAGTAACTACGAGTTCTAAGGGAGAAATATATCTATAATAACTATATAGTATAAACTAATATTAATTTATAATCCAAAAAGCAAATAATATTTACTTTTTGAAGGGGTATACTTCACAAGTGGATTCTTGGGGTTTGTTTCAAGAGACATGGAAATCCATTTAGGCTGCACCCTGCTTATATACCCTGTAACAATTTAATGTTCTTTCTCTATTATTCTTGTCTCTGTTTTGAACAGCTATTTTTAAATGCTAGCCATAAAGTGGCAGACAAGAGTGAGAAAGACCTTGCCAACAAATTACTGACAGAAATGAATGAGGACCAGGTATCTACAAAGCCTGCATCTTGTTTCAGCCAAAGTCCAAAATCAGTCAATGGGAATAACTGTTCCTGTACTTTTATTCTTACTTCTTAAAATATATAAACATCTAATTCTTATATTCACTAATTATTTTTGAAAACCATTTAAAAATTTAAAAAATTGCTTCCATTTAAAGGATGAAATCTTTGTGATAAAATCAATACCATTCTATTTGTATGTGTTCCATTTAGTTGAAGGAGATACAAAGTACAGGAATGGGATTCTAGTATCAATGCTGTCCACTTGGTGGTGACTTCATATTTTGGGGCTTCCTTTTCTAAGCACCGTGGGGTATTGGGACTTTAGGGCTTTGTTTGTGAATATGTATTATTTATTTTTAATATCTTGATTCTTTGCTTCTTATTGACAAGTAATGATTATGATTTAATGGACAACCCAAATCTTGGAGGAAGGGAAGAAGATGCTGAACTTTATGAGTTTTAATTTAGTATAAATTTTACTTTTCTAAAAATTCAATTGTATATAAGTATAATAAAGGAAGAATGTGTAGTTTATATTGTTTCTCATTATACATTAAATTAGTACTTAAAAATTGCTGTGTAGTTGGGCATAGTGGTAGACATCTATAATGCCAGATTTCAAGAGGCTGAGGAGTAGTATCATGAATTAAAGGCTAGCCTGAGCTACATAGAAATCCTGTTTTTGTTTTTTTAAACCACAGCTTTATTTTTTTTCCCTAAAATGTTGTGAGAGAATTTACTTTTATTAGCATTATCGTAATGTTTAGTTTCACAGAATTGTATAAAAAGAGTCTGTTCTGTTCTATCCTTTTCTATTCTGGATGTGAGATGCCAATTCAGAGTGCTATACTGTTTTAGATTTCTCTGAATATTTAGTCCCTGTTAAGTCATATTTGTATAGATTAATGAAGCAATATAATAATGTTATAGAGATTTATATTACAATTCCAATGGCAGATGTAATGAGGTCTTTTAGGCTTTTTCATCTTGGACAAAATGTAGCACAGATCCTATTTGTATGAAATTCTGCATGCAGAATGTTTACTATATACTGTAATATGTTTATGCAATTTTTTTACAATATATAACAACAGAAACCAAGACTACAAGTAATCTGCCTAAGAATGATAGAGTTTAGATTACAAAGATGTAAGCAGTTTCCTTTGTACTCAAATCTATTTTATTGGGAAAAATAAATAACCCTATTTGTGAAATGATGAGCTTTAAATTGTAATTATATATTCCTGAAACCCAATTTTCGGGACTGTTTGTTTTTACAGCTTTTTAGTCCTCATTCTGTGCTTTGATGATTGACTGAGCCTGATGAAACAGTCACATTTAGTTTTTAACATTGTTGACATAAGTTTTTGGATTTTTGTAAGTGCACTGCCTTGAAATTTAATTATTGAGGCTTGCACAGTGTTAGACAAAATGGAGCTACTTTTTAATTCTTTCTTAAAACCTTTGTTATGGAAGGTTGCCTTTTAAAATGCATAAACAGTATATCAGATAAATATTTAGCTTTCTGTATCTGCCTAAAATTTGCATTTCATATAAAAATTCAATATGTATTTATAAGCATTTCATGTGTTTTAAATTATTAGAGATCATTTTGACATTATAAAGATAATTGGTGTATGTATATACCATTTCAGTTTTGGTAGACTTTGGAGACTAAACAAGATTATTTTAGCTATCCTGTTGCATATGGTAGTGGAATTTAAGGCTAAACAGTTCAAGTATATTTTGAAGGGAAATTAAAACAATAGATCTAATTTTAGACCTCCCTTCCTTCCTCTTGAGATTGTCCATTATTTTTGAAAAGCATGTGTTAAGCTTGGTGTTTTGTTTTGTTTTTTCTTTCCCCTCAAAATATTTAATGTTATGAGTGAATGTTGCCTTACCCTTTGACACATGGTTTATATTCTGTTAAGTAGATAACTTCTCTTCCAGGTTACAGCAGTTCAGAAATCTATTTCATTGGAAGAGGAATGGAATGCATGTTAGGTGTTTTTGTGCAGGTTTTCAGAACAAAGGTTTCCTAACTGAATAATAATCTTGATTATATTTGTTAACTTTTTTCCTCTTTGGTAGGTGTTTCAGGGACAGTTGGACTGTTTGGCTGTATCAACTATTCAAGCTTTGACTGCAGTAATGAACAAATCTCCAGCTGCTAAGGTGAAACATATATCTCCTAGCTTTAGAATGTTAACAGTTTTCACTGAACAAATCCCAAAGTTGTATGTGAAAGTATATAGCATATATGACTTAATAACATCTGAAATTAAAGTGTGCACAAAATAGTTCATCTTAGTATAAGAACAATTTGCTGGGCTGAGGATGTAGTTCCATGGCACTGTGCCTGCCTGGCAAGTGCAGGGTTTCTGAGTTTGACCCCCAGTACAAAAACAAAAACAAAAAACAATTTACTGGTAATTTTAAAGACAACCCATTTAGCCACTGTAGGATCTTAAAAGAAGTGATGCCTAAGTTGGAAAGTAGGAGAAATTTCCAATGTTGTCCAAAGAAAGGGAAAGATAGCCAGATGTAGTGTGCATACCTATAATCCCAGCTACTCAGGAGAGTAGGCAGAGAGAGTGCAAGTTCAAGGTCACCCTGGGCAATTCAGTAAGACCCTATTTCAAAATTTGAAAGAAAGAAAGAGGCATAGGGCTTGCCTAGCACATGTGAGTCCCTGGGTTGAATCTCAGTACTACACACAACACAAACACACATAAACACAAGAAAATAATGGGAAGATAGCACTGGTGTTCAAATAATCATTTTATATGGTTACTGAGTTTAAAACTTATTTATTTTATAGATTTTCTTCATTAATAAAAGTCACTCTTCATTTAGTTTATAGATATGAACATTTTCTACATGTAATCTTGTGGGACTTATTTTTTCAAGATGTATAGCCATAGGGAGTCTACTTCTTGCGTAGTCACTAATGTTCAGGGTTCTCTATACCTTATTCATGACATCTGACAGTCCTATACATTTGTGTTGAGAATTACCTCACTGAGTAGTTGTAAGGATTAGTGAGACCATCTCAGTTAAGTGGTAAGCAAAATGCCAGGCACATGTTAAGTGCTCAGTAAATGTTAGTGAAATAATTACCACTTTACCTTTTCATTTTTCCCAATATACTTCTTGCTTCACTTTTATTGTACTAGAAATGAAGCAGTTATTCCCTGGCCCCTGAGCAGTGCTATCCTTTATATTCCTTAGTTTTCATTGGTTTGTTTTGGGAGACTCTGACTTTGGCTGTAGAAGTGTTACTTCTTACATTTAGGTTCCTGTTGAATAGGGTCTCTAAATTTTTACTTGTGACTTTAATCTCCTTTTAGCAATAGCTTCTATAAGGAAGAAATCATTTTTAAGATCTCAGTAATGGTTTATAACAGATTGCTTATTCTGTATTCTGAAATTCAAAACTAAGGTGAGTCTTTAGAGACAATTTCTTGTTGACTGTGTACTACCTTGCATGATTTAAAGTTTCAAAGTTATGTTAAAATTTTTTTGATAAAAGATTTTCTTCCAATTCTTAACTCACAAGCAACTAGTTCCCCTTCTTAGAGACAACCATCTTACTTGTTTTATTTAAGTCTTTTGATTTTATAATGAGTGCAAATATTTCTGCCGTAATTTAATGAAATAGTTTAATATATCTGGATTTCTTCATTATTGTTTTTATATTTTAGTTTATTGCTTTGATGAGCGCATACCTGCTTAGAAATATATGTGACTTGGAGCTTTCTAAAATGAACTTGATTCTGCAGATAATTTCAATACAAAAGAGCACAGAGAAAATTCTTTGTATCTGTTTTTTTTTTCTGACAGTACTTAAAATTCCTAACTCTTCAGTCTAGTCCTTTAGGCTGTTGTCTCATTCCTTTTATCCACGAAGTCTAATTTTTTCTCTGTTTTTGTTTTAGCTTCACCTAATACTTTATTAATTATAAGTCAAATTAAAGTATCATATGCTGTAATCTGAAAATAATTATCTAACAGTTACTGCTAATTTTATTTACTTTATTGTTTGGTAGATTATAATTTAAATATTCCAGAAGGTACTTGAGACCTATTTTAAGATGAATATATGATTTAAGAGAATATTGAATTCACAATCTTTTATTTAATATTAAGTTAGTTTAAATGGGTATTCAATATTTTATGTTTACAATACATTTAGTCATTTAAAATATGCTTTGTTGTATTATTTTCCCCTTTAGGAGGTATTTAAAGAAAGAATTGGTTACACACATATGTTTGAAGTGTTAAAGTCTCTAGGTCAGCCGCCTCTAGAACTACTGAAAGAACTCATGAATATGGTAAGTTTTTAATCTTTTTAAAGAGAAGTTCATTCCAAAATTTGAAAACTATTAAAAATTTCAAAAATGGTAACTAATCTTTTTCTTTTATGTTGTTTTTTAGGCTGTAGAGGGTGACCACACTTCAGTTGGGATTTTGGGCATTAGTAATGTCCAGCCTCTTTTGCTTCTTATCCAGTGGCTTCCAGAGCTAGAATCCCATGACCTGCAAATCTTCATCTCTGATTGGCTAAAAAGAATTTGTTGTATTAATAGACAGAGTCGAACTACTTGTGTGAATGCAAACATGGGAATGAAAATCATTGAAACCCTTGATTCCCATTCTTCCCTCCATCGAACTTGTGCTGAAAATTTGATTGCAATTCATGGTTCTTTGGGGAGTCAGTCAGTGAGCTCAGAAGAAGTCCGTCGACTACTAAGGTTGCTAAGAGTAGATGAATATAAGGTTATTCACCCTTATACCCCTCCTGTGACTCGAGCAATCCTGACAATGGCCCGAAAACTATGTCTTGAGAGTGCACTGCAGTATTTTAATTTATCACATAGTATGTCAGGAATTTCTGTGCCTTCCATACAGAAATGGCCAGGGTCTGCTTTTTCTTTCAGTGCTTGGTTTTGCTTAGATCAGGATCAGTTGACTCTTGGCATTGCTAGCAAAGGAGGAAAAAGAAAACAATTGTACAGGTAATAGTACAAATTTTGAGATATATATGATTGTCTTAATATATGTTAAACAGGAAAAGTCTCTGAGCATATGGTTTTTAAATGTAGAATGTTTTTTCTAAAGGCTTTTCATCATTTGGCTGCACACAATTTAATTTTAAGTACTTTATTGCTTTCATGATAATTATGTGTCTTACACATTGTGCTGATTGTGTTCTGAGGCTGATTTGGAAACAGTGCCTTTTTCTTAAAAGTAATGTATTACGTACATGTACTAACTTCCCTGAAGGAATGTAAACATGTACTATACCTTTCTATGAATAAACTAAAATCCAGCAAACATATAGTTAAAAAAGTAATAAACTTCAGTGATATCTCTTCCCATGCTTATATGAATGACCATTAGACTTATGCATATGTGTATCCAAACTTCAGTAGATAATTTTTACTATGCCTAGTGATTTTTAATACCTTTATGTATGCTTTCTGAATCTCTTGGAAAAATTTAGAAGATTTGGAAATTTATAGTTTTGCTATAGTTTGCCAATGGAATTCCACTTATAATGTTGACTCTTACACCCAAAAGCAGTTTTAAAAGTGTGTTTGAAACGTGGCTGGATTAATGAATGACGCTAATGTATAAGCTACAACATTGTTAAGGTATTTGGGGTTTTGTGTGCTTCAGTGATGATGAAACTGGTCAACTAACTTCAGAAGTTCTGATATATTTATTTTTGTTAGCTTTTTTACAGGAAGTGGCATGGGTTTTGAAGCTTTTATTACCCATTCAGGTATGTTGGTTGTGGCAGTGTGCACAAAAAGAGAATATGCAACGGTTATGCTTCCTGACCACAGTTTTTGCGATTCCCTCTGGGTAAGGCTTTAGGGCATCATATTTAACTTCTTGCTTCTTTCTTTTAAAACACAATTTGATGCATGTTCTTGAGGAGTTTTTACTTGCTTTTTGATAATCACTTAATGTTTAGTCTAAAATTGTATCCATATTGAAGTTTGTCTATAAAAAGTTAATATTAGGACAGGGGATGTAACTCAGTGGTTCCAACACATGCCTCACAAGTGCAAGATCCTGAGTTCAATCCCTGGTACCAAAAACAAAGAAACAAAAATAAACAAACAAAAAAAGAAGTTAATACTATTTGCCATTAGCATCATAAATTCAGTAGTAGTTTTTCTGTTAAAAATTAAAATAAAATGTTATTTCTTTAAGACTTTTGAAGAAACAGATTTGATTTTTAATTTCTTTGCAAAATAAGAGGTTATTAAAAACTGCCTTTTCATTGCTTTTCTTAAAATATAAAATGCTTCTAACTAGAAAAATTTATTCTAAAAAATATTCACAGTCTTGGAAAATGCAGAAAAGATGCTATGTTATAATTTGTCTGAATTTTTCAGAAAAGGCTTTTGTGGTAATACAGAAAAAATTGTTCACTTTGAAGACATTGTCAGTGTTCAACTATGGTTCATGTTTGTTCATACAAATAGATTGTATTATACTCTGCAAACATTTATCAATCCAAAAACATAATGTGACTTTAGCCTTTTAAATGTATGTTTTACTCTACCAGCACAACATAACCATTGTTCACATTCCTGGAAAAAGGCCCTTTGGTCAGAGTCTTGTCTGCATCTATGACAATGGACAACAAAAGGTTTCTGCCCCGCTCCGATTTCCTGCCATGAATGAAGTAAGTGTTTCTAATTTATTGTTTACAGGCTCAATTGATTGAGACTTCTTGAATATTTTCAATTAATTTAGAAAGTGTTTTTAAAATTTTAAATATGTACTCCTAAATTTTAATTTTTTTGGTGTTGTGTATAGAGTAAATTAATATTTATTTCTGTTTATTGTTAAATGATATTGGATAGTGTTTTTAAAAAAATCAAAGAAACAAATGTTAAGTCTTAGGAAAAAAAGACATAACAGGAAATCCAAAGAAATTAATAAATCAAGGTATCATTTAATAAATCTCTCCAAGTATATGAAATACAAGATACTATGGTGGACTCTTTTCCATTTTTCTGAAATTTGAAAAAAAAGAAAAGAAACAAATTTTCAGTTTCACATAGTAGCTGGCTGTAAGATAGAATTTATTTACTGGGGCCAGATGTGATAATGCATACCTGTAATCCCAGAACTCCCTAAGAGGCTGAGGTAGGAGAATCACAAAGCCCAGCCCTTGCAACTTATCAGCTTTCCAAGACTCTGTCTCAAAATACAAAGGCTGGGGCTGTAGCCCTGTGTAAAGGCCTTGGCTTCAATCACTACTAGTAAAAAAAACCCCACAATGAGTGTAATCATTATGTATTGCAGACATTTACTAGTAAAAATTTAAAGTTATTAAAACGTTGATTTTTTTTCAGTTGTTCCACCTGGTATACCAAGACTGACATTCCCTAAGATCTTTAAAAACAGAGAAAAAAGCCTATAGATCAGTTGCAAAGACTGGCAGCTGTGCCAAGTAGGCAGAAACTTCTCATCCCCAATAAATTGAAGAGGTATGATCTGTCAACAGGCTCAAAACCCAAAAGCCAGCTATACCTGGAAGATATTTCTGAAAAGTAGCCATTTTCTAAGGGTTCTGAATACTGGCAGTAAAGCTACTCACCATAAGCAATTTACAAGCATGAATCCAGGAGTCAAATTAAAAGGAAAAAAAAATAGGGAAACCTAAACAAGATGCACTCCCCTCCAACTTTCTGCTCACCAGAGACAAACCCCAGGGGGCAATGAGGTGGAACAATCCAAAAGCCACTCACCTGGATGCTCTAAGGTGGTAATAGCAGAAGTAACAAAGCCAATGGACAAGGCTCTAGAAAAAAATCAAAGCAGAAATAATTTTCCACATAACTACAGAGATAGTAACTAAAATAAAAGCTAGAGATTAAAAAAATAGAGGAGCTCAGGAACACAATGGAAACCATGAATGCCCAGTATAGGAAAGAAATGGAGTCCATGAAACAGATTCAAACAGATATCCAAGAGATTAAAAATACCATTGAAATAAATGCAGCATTATGAGACAATGTGAGGACAGAGTATCAGATAAAGAGGACAGGTTTGCAGTTAATGACCATGAAAAGAGAGATTTCTTAAGAGTAGCAGATGATCATGAGAAATCAATCCAGCAGCTGCTAGATGATGCAAAGAAGAATAATTTAAGATTGATTAGAGTCAATGGAAAAGCAGGAGATAGTGCAAATGACATAAAAAACCTGTTCTCAGAAGTAATGATAGAAAACTTCCCAAACAAGGAAACAGATTTTTGACATGCAGATTAGAGAGACATATAGGACTTCCAATTAGTCATAATAAAAAAAAAATTTTCCCCCAAAGCATATCATAGTCAAGATGTGTCAAAATTCAACACCCATTCATGATAAAAACCCTGCAGAGAATTGGAATAGATGGCCTTTATCTCAGCTTGATAAAGGCTCTGTAAAAGCATCAATCAGTATCATACTAAATGGTCAAATACTGAAAACCTTCACACTAAAATCAGGAGCAAGATTTAGGAGACTGAGGCAGGAGGATCACTGTGAGTTCGAAACCTACCTGGGCTACATAGTGAGTTCCAGGTCAGTCTCAACTACATAGTGAGACCGCCCCCCCAAAAAAATGAACAGGACAAACATGTCCACTATCACCACTCCTGTTCAATATAGTTTTGGAAACATTAGCGTTAGCAATTAAACAAGAGAAAGAAATAAAAACAATAAAGATAGGAAAGGAAGCAGTTAAAGTGTCATTATTTGCTGACGATATGATACTCTATATAGGAGACCCAAAAAACTCTGCCAAAAGACTTCTAGACTTAATTGAAAGATTCAATAGAGTAGCTGGATACAAGGTAAACACCGAAACATCAATAGCCTTCTTGTACACAAATAACAGACTCACTGATAGAGAAATTTAGGGAAGCATTTCCTTTCACAATAGCATCCAGAAAAGTGAAATATCTAGGAATCAGTCTAACAAAGCAAAAGACCTCTACATTGGGAACTACAACACTGTGAAAAAAGAGATTGAAGAGGATATAAGAAAATGGAAAGACATTCCTTGTTCCTGCATAGGAAGAACCAATATAGTGAAAATGGCCATACTTCCAAAACTGCTATACAGATTCAGTGCAATCCCTACAAAATCCTGACAGTATATTTCACAGAAGTAGAGAAAACAATCCAAAAATTCATTTGGAGCCAGAAGAGACCTAGAATAGCAAAAGTCATTCTAAGCAACAGAGACATGGCAGGGGTTATCACAATCCTAAACTTTAAACTATACTGTAAAGCCACTGTGATAAAAACAGCATGACACTGGCAAATAAACAGACCCAAAGATTAGTGTAATAGATTAGATTATGCAGAAACAACTCTAGACATACTCAGCTATCTCATCTTTGACAAAGGTGCCAACCATCCTCACTGGAGGAAAGATAGCCTCTTTAATAAATGGTGTTGGAAAAATTGGATTTCACCTTGCCAAAAAAGGATCCCTATCTTTCACAGTGCATAAAACTAAAATCCAAATGGATTAAAGATCTAAATATTGGGGGTGGGGATTTAGCTCAGTGGTTCTGTCACCTACTTCATAAGCACAAAGACCCGAGTTCAATATCTGATACCCCCCCAAAAAATCTAAATATTAAACAGAAACACTAAACTTGCTGGAAGATATGATATGTAGAACTATTGAAGATATTGTCATAGGAAAAGACTTTTGAATTAATCCTCAGTAGCCTGGGAACTAGCACAAAGAATCAACAACTGGGATCTCATCTTTTTAAAAAGCTTCTGCACTGCAAGAGAAACCACCAACAGAGCTAAGACACAAACTGCAGTGTGGGAAAAAATTTTTACCAGCTGCTGCTCAGACAAAGGTCTACTATCTAAAATATGTAAAGAGCTAAAAAAATCAGACCCCCCCCAATATAAAGACCCAGTTCAAAAATGATTATCTGAAATGAACAGATATTTCTCAGACAAAGAAAAGCAGCAAATAGACATGTGAAGAAATGTTCCACATCCCTGGTCATTTGAGAGATGCAGATGAAAACAACACTGAGATTCCATCTTACCACAGAAGGAATGGCTGCTATTAAGAAATAAACCAATAACAGTATGGCCATTTTCACTATGTTGATTCTTCCTACCCAAGAGCAGGGGATATCTTTCAATTTTCTTATGTCCTCTTCGATCTCTTTTTTCAGAGTGCTATAGTTTTCAGTGTAGAGGTCTTTTGCTTCTTTTTTGTTAGATTGGTTCCTAGATACTTCATTTTTTTTATGTTATTTTGAAAGGAATTGTTTCCCTAACTTCTCTCTCAGTGAGTCTGTTATTTGTGTACAAGAAGGCTATTGATTTTTGTATCCAGCTACTCTGCTAAAAGTGTCAAGATGATGTGGTTTTTCTATAAAATGGAATACTACTCAGCCATAAAGAATGAGAAATTAGATTCATTCATAGGAAAATGGATACATATTGAGGATATACTCCTAAGTGAAATAAATAAGTCACACATGTGTAAATACTGAATAGTTCCTCTGGTGTGAAAAAACTATAATAGTACATAAGATCCTAATGAGATAATTGACAATGTGAAATAGGAAGAAAATGGCTAAAAGTGTAGGGAAAGTGGGAAGGGTAGGGGAAAGATAATAAGGGAAAAGAAAAAAATATGAGAAAATGAAAATAAAGTGTTTGTAAATGGGGAGGGGAGGAGGGAGTGAAGGGAGGGCAGGGACAAGGGGAAAAAATGAGAACCAAAATCTGTCATGTAAAGGTACAAGATCCTAATAATGAATGTAACTGTACTGTATACCTAAAATGTACCAATAAACTCAATGAGGAAAAAAAAAAGAAAGAAATAAACCAATAACAAATGCTGGCAGGTCTGTGGGGAGAAAGGAACTCTTCTTTATTGTTGGAGGAAGTGCAGACTGGTGCAACCACTATGGAAATCAATATGGAGATAAAGTACTAGGATTAGAGGTCCCATTTGACTGAGCTATTCCTCTGCTGGGTGTCTTCCCAAAATAATTAAAAGAATCATGCTACAGTGCTATATGCTTATCCATGTTTATAGTGACACAGTTTGTAATAGCTAAAAACTTGGAAACAGCCCAGTTGCCCATCATAGCTAAGTGGATGCACATTGAAGCCATACTCGTAAGTGGAATTAATAGGACACAATGTAAATATCGAATAGTTTCTCTGGTGTGGAAAAACAAAGTGTATATTAAGGATCAAAATGTATAATTGATATAGTGTAGTAGGAAGAAAAGATCTGAAGGAGTAGGGGAAGTGGGAAGGATAGGAGAAAGGTAAGAAGGGAAAAGCAAAAATATGAGAAAAGCGAAAAAAAAATAAAGGAAACAAAGTCTTTGTAAATAGGAAAGCGTGGAGGGGGTGAAGTCAATGAAATTGAAATGTAATTAAAAACCTATCAAGGAAGAAAAGCCCTGGTCCTGAAGGATTCATTGCAAAATTATATAGAAGTCCTAATGCCGTTATTCCTCAAACTCTTTAATGAAATTGAAAGGGAAGCAGTACTCCCAAATTTATTCCTTAAAGCAAGCACTATCCTGAATCCAAAATTAGAGAAGGATCCAACCCAAAAGGAGAATTACAGCCCAATCTCCTTAATGAACATCGATGCAAAAATTCTGAATAATGTACTGGCAAACAATGCAGCAAATCTTGAAAAGGTTCTACACCATGACCAAGTTGGATTCATTCCAGGGATGCAGGTATGGTTATGCAAATCAATAAATGTAATACGCTATATTAACAGAGCCAAGGACAAAAACTGTACAATCTCAATAGATGCAGAAAAAGTGTTTGACAAGTTCCAATACCCATTCATGACAAAAACCCTGTAGAAAATTTGTAGAGATGGTCTTTATCTCAGCCTGATAAAAGCCATCTATGACAAACCAACAGCCAGCATCATACTAAATGGACAGAAACTTAAAGCTTTCAATCTAAAATCAGGAACAAGACAAGGAAGTCCACTGTTACCACTCTTTTCAATATAGTTCTGCAAACACCAGCCAGAGCAATTAGACAAGAAGTATAGAAAGAATAAGGATAGGAAAGGAAGACGTTAAATTATCATTTGCAGGTGACATGATACTCTACATAGAAGACTCCAAGAACTCCACCAACAGATTTCTAGATTTGATAACCAAATTCAGTTGTGTAGCTGAATACAAAATCAATGCTCAAATTCGTTAACCTTCCTGTACACGAATAACAGTCTCACAAAGACAAATTAGAGAAACAATCCCTTTCACAGCATATATATATAGGAAGAAGGCTTGGGGGGAGGGATAAAAAATTAATTAAAACTTAACAGTCATGATGTATACATAGAGAAAAATAAAATTGCATGCATTATTTTCATTCTGTTTGCTTAATTTTTTATACTGTTCCATTCTTTTAATTTTTAATCTTATTTTTTTAATATTTCTTGGGATCAGACTAAAGATCTTGTGTGGCAAGGCCAGTTTTGTACCACTGAACTACATCCCCAGCTCCCTCTTGTTTAATAGGTACATATTAAACTGTGTAATTTTTGTTATTTTTTTAGCCTTTCACTTCCTGTTGCATTGGTTCTGCTGGGCAGAGAACCACCACTCCCCCACCATCCCAGATCCCAGATCCTCCTTTCTCTTCTCCCATTTCCCCTCATTGGACATCATTTGGTGGGATTCTGTCATCAGCCTCCTGGGGAGGAACGACTGAAAAATCAAAATCAGTTACTAAATTGATATCAGCTGGAACCCAAGACAGTGAGTGGGGATGCCCCACGTCCCTGGAGGGTCAGCTGGGGTCTGTTATTATCTTCTGTGAAGCACTGCAGCCTCCTCAAGTGAAAGTATTGTACTTAGCAGGTAAGCATGTATGATCAGTCATGTTGCTCAATTACATTTAGAGTTTTTTCTGTTATCTGAAGAGTCTGTTTGATTAAAGTGAAGCTAAAAGGGAAGAAAAAGCTTACCATATACATACACTTTTTTTTTTTTTTTTTTTTTTTTTTTTTTTTTTTTTTCTTTTTTTTTTTTTTTTTTTTTTTTTTTTTTTTTTGGTAGCCATAGTAAATCAGCCTTTGGGAAATACCTCAAATTTCATCCATTATACTGTCCATATTATTCTTCTAGGGTTGCCATAATGCCATACCCTACAGACTGTGTCTTTAACAGTAGAAATTTATTTTCACACAGTTTTGGAAACTAGAAGTATAAGATCAAGGTGCCATCAAGGTTATTTCTAGTGAAACTTCTTTTCCTGCTTGTAGGTAGCTGCTTGCTTGCTGTATTCTCACTTGTTCTTTTCTCTGTGCATATAGACACAGAGAAATGTGTTACCTCTTCCTTTTATTATGAGGGGCCCTAGTAAATTAGGGTTCCACCCTTCTGACATCATTTAATTTTATTTATCTCCTTAAAGACCTCCTTAAAATCACAGTGGACATTGTGGCTTTGACATATGAATTTTAGGGGTATTTTTAGTTTTACCTGTAACTGCTAGTATTTTTGTCATATAAACTGATGAAACAAAAGTCTGTTTTCATGGAAATCAGATAAGTGATTCTAAAATCATGAGTCTTGGTCCAAAATTTAACATTTTTATAATTTTCTACCTGAAGAATTCTTGAAGGTAGTACAATTAGTAGATGGTAGAGAAGATTGCACACTTTACCAATGATTTTAAACAAACATTGTTACTATACCCTAACTTCTTTGAAAATTTTATTCTAGTAGGATGTTCAAAAAGTAAGCCTTTAAGACTCATCATGTACATTACTTGGCATGGTAGTGCATGCCTGTAATTCCAGAACTCAGGAGGATAGCTGTAAGTTCAAGGCCAGCCTGAACTGAATAGCAAGACCTCATCTCAAAAAATAAAAAAAAATTTAAAAATTGTATATTGTATATTAAATATAGAGTGACTTATTTTTCATCAAAATATCTCTTAGATTGCATTGGAATTTTGAGATGAATGGAACTATACAGATTTTCAAAGTTTGTATTAGAACCTTTTCATTTCTTGAAACTCACCAAAATATTTGAAAGTGACCTATATCCAAATAAATTCAAATTAGTAATAAGTCATTTAGTGTAGTCATAGCTGTAGTTTACATTTTGTTCCAACAATTTTCTTATAATTTTTACAAATAAGAATTGTTATACAGTCTTCATTAGTGATTATTATTTTTAATATTAATATAAACTTCATTGTAAAATGTGATAAACTGTACTTGAGTATTTCTTATTTTGATAAATTTAATTATAATTTCCCAGGAAAAATATTTGAAATGTATTAATGGCTCTCAATACAATATTAAATCATCAGTTTCCAGAAGGAATCTGCCAATTCTCAATCCTTAACTAACACAGAAGTATCTCAACATCATCACTGCCTCAGTGAGATGGTCAATGTTGTCCCCACGTCCATTATTGTTTGGACTTGTACTTTTTTGATTTTTAGTAAAGTTGAATATTTTTTCTTTTTATCTGCTATTCCATTTCTGTGATGTATACTCACATTATTGATTATTACTCATTTGAATACATTAAATTAACATACAGACTTTGTTATATTTGATAATAGTGTTTTAATGCCACATAAAAGTTTTTTCAAGTGAAGGTTAATCCATTCCTCACTTTTCTAGGTTTTGGATAAATTGGAGCTGATGTAAGAGCTGAAGTACATTTTAGTTAGTATGTTTTTTGTTTGTTTGTTTGTTTGGTACTGGGGATTGAACTTGGGTCCTTGCGCTTGCAAGGCAGGCCACCGAACCGCTGAACTAAATCTCTGGCCCTTAGCTAGTATGTTTTAACTGTATTGTTTTTGTAGCTTGAAACAATTTAATTTTAAATTTGTTCTGGCAACACAGAAACAAGAGACTATATATATAGTCAGTGATGTGTATGTTTGTGTACAATTCATTTTCAGGTCCAAATTGTTTAAGCCCTTGGAAATGTCAAGAGTCTGACATGGCCGACCTGCCTGGTAATGTCCTTCTTCACTACACAGCAAAGGTCAGAATAAATGTGTGGACTTTCTATCTAGTTATATCTATGCTGTGACCTAGAATTCTTTTTATTTTTTTTGTCATTTTTCAAAGGAGAGGAGAAGCAGCAAAAATTATGGTGTACTTCTTTAACAATTAAATATTGTCACTGTGTCATTCTGATAGTATGAATCTGAATAGTTGTAGTTGAAAATAGTACTAATGAATCAGCTTTAGCAAATGCAACTTTGAATTTGTGTTCTTCTAATTTTTTGGAAGGAGAGAATGAAACAGAATTGTACTGAAACTTCAGTTTTTTTTTAATGTGATATAGAAATGAAAAAAAAATACTCCGGGAGAAAAAACAAGTTCCTATCATGTATCATGGGTCAGCCATTTTGCCTTCTAGAACCTATCAAGTAATTGAAGTCAGCAATTGAATGAAAGAAAGAGAAGATAAATTAGAATTTGGAAAAAGAAAAGGGAGAAGTGTTGTAAACAATTATCATTTGCCTTTATTTTATTTAATATTGTATTGACTCAGCTAATGCTTTGATTATCTGAGATTATACATTGTAGAAGAACTTTTCTACTTTAGTAAGCTGGTACACAATCATAATTTATTACTTTTAAGCAGATTTATCAATTTTATTTTCCTCAAATTTTTTATTTTGACAAATTTCAAGCCTAGAAGGAAGTAAAAAGAAGTGATAACCTGTATATTGTTTATTAAATTCACAATTTCATTAACCTTTTACAACCTTTTATTTGGTGACTTTATCTTAAATCATTTGTGAAAGCAGATTGTAATATTTCTTGAGCCAGGCAGGATGGTGCACACTTATAATCCCAGCACTCAGGAGACTGACGCAGGAGGATTGCCAAGAGAGTTTGAAGTCAGACTGTACTAAAACAAAAACAGAAACAAAACACAATAAAACAACAACAAAAAAATTCTGTACATTCATTTGCCTAAGAAAATTATCCTCAGTTTAATACATAATCTGTATTCAAATATTCCCAAAATACTTAGGTTTTCTTTTTGAGGGTCAGAGTCTCACTGTAGTTCAAGCTGGCCTGGCACACAGTGATTCTCCTGCCTCAGCCCTCTGAGTGCTGGGATTATAGGCATGCATATTTAGCATTTTAAAAGTTAATTGGTCCAGTCAAGATATGTCTCTTGAGTTTTACATTTTTTTCTTTGCTTGTTTTTCATAACTTTTTTCCCCAACAATATATATTTATTTGCATACTTTATATTATTTCATAGCAAGACTTCCCATTATCCACACTCAGAACTATGCCATACCAAAACAAGTGGACTAATTTAGTAGGTATGACCCCTTAATCCTAGTACCACACCCTTAATCCTAGCATCATACACCCCAAATCCAGCCACTTCCAAAAATCCCCAGCTATGAGTGCATGAGGGTTTGGGGGCTTTCTTAGCTACTTTTCTCTCATTGCTGAGACAAAATACTGGACAACACCCAAAGTTAAAGGGGAAATGTTTGTTTAGCTTGCAGTTTGTTGAAGTTTCAGTCCATGATCAGCTGGCTTCAAGGCAGGGTGGCATCACTGGGAATAAATAGTTCAGGGCAGGCAGGAGGTAGCAAACCAACAAGGAATGACCACAGCTCTTTTTATTCTGTATATCCTAAACAGGCTACTTAGGGAAGGTAGCACTCATACATTAATTCTGGTGCCCTTGAAACTAGCTAGCATTGCACCATGAATCAATTCCAGCATCACACACTCTAGATCCAGGCACCTCTGAAAAAGCCCCACCTATGACAGCATGATGTTTTAGGGAGACATCTAGATACAAACTAAAACATTCTGCTTCTGCCCCCACCCCCGTGACTCGTTCATATTCCTTTATGCAAAAGCTATTTACTTCATCTCTAAGAGTTGCCAAAAAACAGTTTCAACATTGCTAAAAAGTCTAAGCCCAAAGTCTTCTCTGAGATTTAAGGTAAACTCTTAGTTTCAAGCCCCTATATAAATGAAAAAAAGTCAAACATTTCCAACATACAGTGGCACAAGATGAACATTCTCATTCCACATGGCACAAAAGGAGTAGAAAGGAATGGAACCAAGCAAGTCCCAAATCCAGCAGGATAAATATTAAGTCCCATAGTTCCATGGCCAGCATCTGCTACAATCTCTTGCAAGATGTGAACACCAAAGGGCTTGAGTTGCTCTGCCCCTATGGCACTGTGAGTGTTGTAGCTCCCATAGCTTTTCTCTTCGGCAACTCTACTCTTTCTGTGCAGTTTTCCTCAGATGCGCTATGTTCCTGATTTCTCCAATGTTTTGAGGTCTCCACTGCACCTTTGGCTTCACAGTCAGAGCCTCATACACTGCCTGCTCAGGAGCACACTGCCTGGCCTCCAAGGCCTCCTACTGAAATCTAAATCTGGGTGGAAGCCTTCCTGACTGAACAAATCTCACATTCTGCATATATCTAAAACCAGCACCATGTGGGTGATGCCAAGGTCTACTGCCAGCTGGAACATCAGCCAGGGTTCCTTCTCTCTTGACTATAGGGGTTAAGTGCCTGAGTTGCTTGGTGCTGTGAACCAAGTCCCAATGGACAAATTCCCTAAGTCACTGTCATCCTGGAACATGGTGCTCTGGGGCTCTCTTCTCAAAGCAATCTTTCACCTTTGCAATTTTGAGGCTGAAAAGGCTGAAGTCCTGCTAGTTCTTATGATGTCCTCAGGCCATCTTTTTTCTTGTCTTCTTCTCAGCAACCAAGTTCTCTGGTGCTCCTTCTTTGCTTCTAGAGCTTCTTTCCTGGCCAGACTCAAAATGTTAAATCATTCTGCTGGGCTCTTTGCTCTTGGTTCTCAACACAGATCTGGCTAAAAGCCCCTACCAGTAGACATACTACCACCTCAATATTAGACTGCCTTGAAATTTCTTTTGCAAGATTATCTAATCTACTGTCCTTAATCTTAGTCTCTAGCAAAGTCTCTGGACATGAGAAAAATAGAGACAATTTTTGTGCCAAAGGCTAACATGTGGTCTGGAATCTAATTGCCAATGCAATCCTTGATCGTAACTGAAACCTCTTGAGCCTGGTATATACTGTCTGCATTTCTGTCAGCATTTGGTCTTCTGAACTCTGAAACGCCTATCAAGTACAGCTTAAAGCATTCCAGGCCTGCTGCTTTAGCCAGCATCTCTAAATTTTTCCAAATTCTTTCCTCAAGCCAGTTCCAAAGGCTTCTTAACCACATAGGTAGTATCACAGCAGCAACCTCACTTCTGGTGACAAAATCTGTCTTACTTTTCTTGTTGTTTCTTTTCTTGAGACAATACCCAGCAACCAAAATTAAAGAAGGAAAAGTTCATCTCAAGTTAGTTTGTAGAGGGTTCAGTCTATAATTGACTTGCTCCAAGACAGGGTGGCATGAGAGAGGGACATCACAGTAGAGAAACAGTCTATAATGTGCAGGTCAGAAATGACAAAGGACCAAAGGTGTAGGGACAGTGAGAAGGATAGGGAAGGGGGAATAAAGGAAAAGGAAAAATATGAGAAAATGTAAAAATGGAATTAAAGTGTTTGAAGAGGGGAGGGGAGGGAAGGTGAAGGGAGGGTGGGGACAAGGGGAAAAAATGAGAACCAAGACCTGGCATGTAAAGGTGCAAGATCCCAGTAATGAATGTAACTGTACTGTCTACCTAGAATGTACCAATAAATTAAAAAAAAAAAAAAAGAAATGACAAAGTAGCTAACAGTAGTAGCCTGCCTTTCCCTTTTATCCCTTCCAGGCTACCCACCTTTTTGGTGGTACTACCCACACCCAAGGTAGGCCTTCCCACTCTGTGATATATGCTATGGTATCTAGTGTGTGCTATACTGAAATCAGTGGAGTAATTTAGTAACCATACACCATTAATCTCAATATCATATATTTAATCCCAGCATCACACACCCTAATTCAGCCATCTCTGAAAAGCCCCACCTGACCACATTAGGCTCTGGAAGAGATTTAGATATAAGCCATAACAATAAGTTAAAGTCTCTAGGTTTAAGAACCTTAATATTGAGAAAAATATATTTTAAAAGTTTAGTATAATTTTAAGCACTTATTTTTACGCTATCATTCATTGAACATAATACAGTAAGTACTGTTAAATGTTTCACTTAATCTTCACCAAAGTGCTCAGTATTATCTATATATTTTCTAAAGTTTGTTTGGTTTTTTTTTTTGGTACTGGGGATTAAACTAAGGTCTTTGTGCCTGCAAGGCAGGCCACCAAACTGCTGAGCTAAATCCCTGGCCCTAAAGTTTTTTTTGAGGCTCAGTAAACATAAATAACTTGCCCTAGCTGTATTATTCTAGTGAAAGGTAGTCCTGAGTTTAGAATTTAATTTATCTAATGCATATCCTTATCCAACATATAGTACAGTATTTCTGTGTTCTAATTTTATACAAAATACCAAAACATATGCACATGCAGGGTGAGAAGTGGTTTGCTCTTCCAGGAAGTGAGAATACCATAGATTATTTGATTTTTTATTTTTATTTTTCCATTTGTACAGGGGTAACGCATTGTACTAAATATGAAAGGTCATATCTACGTAGGTTTGATTACAGAAACTAATAAAGTATTCTCTAAATAATGAAAAAAAGAATAAGATAAGACTACAAGAGCAAGAAGCAATTTAAATATGTTCAGGGACCGTTTTCATCTCCAGAATTAAGGATTATTTTAATCTTACATCATTGCCTTTTCCCTTTTACTTTCCTTTTTAGTTTTATTTTAGGATTCCCTATTTTTAATGTTCATACAGAGATTTCTTTAACTGAAATACTGAATAGTTTCTCTGGTGTGAAAAACTATAATAGTATACAGGATCCTAATGAGATTATTAATAATGTGAAATAGGAAGTAAAGGGCTAAAGGTGTAGGGAAAGTGGGAAGGGTGGGGGAAAGGTAATAAGGGAGAGGAAAAAAAATATGAGAAACTGAAAAAATGGAAATAAAGTGTTTGTAAATGGGGAGGGGAGGAGGGGGTGAAGGGAGGGCAGGGACAAGGAAAAAATGAGAATCAAGACCTATTATGTAAAGGTACAGAATTCCAATGATGAATGTAACTGTATTGTATACCTAGAATGTACCAATAAACTCAATAAAAAAAAAAAGAAAGAAATTGAGCTAGGCATGGTGGTGCATGCCTATAATCTCGGCCCTCAGCAGGGTGAGGCAGGCTGTAAATTTGAAGCCAGCCTGGACTACATACTGAGTTCAAGGTCAGCCTGAATTATATAGTGAGACCCTGTCCCAAAAACTTAAAAATAAAGTGAAGAAAAAAATAAAAAGCAATATTGAGAAACAGCCCACACTTAGCAGGCTGATTTACACAGACACAGAGTATAAAATGGGTTGGGCATTCATGTATTTGAGTATATGGTACCAAGCAAGGGGAGAAGATGACAGGAAATGAACTTACAGAGCAAGAGGAAATCAGGTGATAACAAACCTCATACACTAGGCCAGTGATGAACCTTTTAGGGATTTCAGTAACAGCCAACTATAGCTCACATGCTATAGGTTCACAACCACTGTCCTAGGCTAAATAATGGGCATTGGATAGGGTTTTGCAGACAGTAGTATGTTTGGGTATACATTTTTTAAAAAGTTCTCAAGCTACAGTATGAATGTTGGATTTGAAAAGTAGGAAATCAGAGGCAGTGATACCATTAGAAAATTATATTAGGAGTGGTCTTGGAGACATAGTACTCAAACTAAAGAAGTAACGGAGACTGACTTAGTGTACATATATTAAATATCCTTTCTCTTGTTAAAACAAATTTTCTCAATTCTTTAAAGAGGAAAGCCGAACCCCACATCATATATGCTAAATTTTTAGGTTTGTTTTGGAATGGGGATTAAATTCAGCGATGTTTTATTACCTGGAAATTCACTGATTATGGTGTTATGTGCTCTTATGAATGGAAGTTAACAAATCATTTTAAGTTTCTAGAGTTGTAGACTAAGTTCTCAATCTGAATAAAACTAGAATTACATTGTAGTAACATGAAGGAAAAACTGTTTTATGGCTACAATTGAATTTTTGTATTGCAGTGTAATTTCCTTTCCATGATTTCTCTATCACACTCTCTTTCCCTTGTGGTGCCAGGAATCAAACCCAGGGGCACTCTACCCCAGGCTACATCCCCAGCCTTTTCATTTTTATTTTGAGACAAGATCTCACTTGGTTGCCAAAGCTGGGCTCAAAGTTGTGATCCTCATTCTTCAGCCTTTGGAGTAATTACAGGAGTGCACCACCATACCTGGCTTCTCTTTCACATTTCAGTCATGTATTTCATGTATCTCATGAAACTGATACTAAAGAAGGGCTCATGGGAATTAAACATGGAGTAGCTTCTAAACACCATGACTGTTGGTGTGTATTGGTTTAAAAGAGTAGCACAAATACTGGTGAATGAGAAGTTCTAGCAAATGCTCATTTGTCAGATGATAAACAGTAGTGACCTGCTTTGATGAGAGAGTGTTTGGGAATATAGTCCCTGGTTTTTGAGAGACATGGCAAATATAATAACACTAAAATTCATATGGTAGGCGTCTTACTTATATTTATTTACCTTTGTACATTATGGTGAATTGTGCCATATATGGTCAAAGTTATATTTCATTTTATTTGCACCTAGTGGTTTACTGTATTTTTCTTTTATTCTCAGGCCTGCAAAAATTCAATCTGCCTTGATTTATCTACTAATCGTTTGCATGGAAGATTAACAGGAAACAAAGTAGTGAACTGGGACATTAAGGTAAATTAGTCATAAATGATAGGCAACAAGTAAGTTTAATGGTCATTTTTAAAATTTTTATCTTTTAAGCACTACAAAATTGATCTAAGTACAGTAATAGTTCTCAAAGTGTTATGCTGCTAGATAATTTGAAGAAAAATAAGTAGCCAAATGACTTCAGTAGTTGAATGACTGTTTGCTTAAAACTTAATTATCATAAAAAAACTTAATTACCTTTGTAAATTGTGACCCTTAATAGTTTCTGTAAGAATACTGCTGTTTTAGTTCACTGGCCTACTTTTTAGGTATTGAATTCTTAACCACCATGGCAGGTTTTAACCACGTAACCTTCTCAGAGTCTATAATCTCCTTCCTCTTGTATCAGACATCTCTGTCTGTACAGTCTTATATAAATCAGCTTCAAACAGACTCAGATCTTTCCTAAGATTAAAAATGAAATTCCTCCTTTTCCCCACATTGCCCTGTAGCTGTCATATTTTGTCTTCCTTTTCATAGATCTCAAAGGTGTGTTGCATCTTGAACTTTACGTTTATGGCTCTTGATCATTTCACATATCATGGTGAATAGTAATTACTTACTTAACTCTCCAGTGATTTTTAAGAACTTTGAAGGAGGAGCTGCTGCTTTTTTAACTGGTGCATAGTACAGGGATGTGGAGTAATGGTTGACTCTTTCTTAAATACAGCATTTCCTTATCCTATTTTAAGTAGAATTTATAACTTAAGTAAAATAAAAAGAAATATAAGGCACCTTAGTGGCACAGTGCCTGCCTGGCAAGCACGATGTCCTGAGTTTGATCCCTGGTACCAAAAAAAGAAAAGGAAGGAAGGAAAAAACAGATAGGTAGATAAATAGATAGATAGATAACCTGGGCATAGTAGTGCATCCCTGTAATCCAGCACTTCGGTAGGCTGAGACAGGACAATTGCAAGTTTGAACCCAGCCTAGGCAATTTACCAACTTATTGAAACCCTGCCTCACAATAAAAAAAAACTTTTTTTTAAGTGATCAAATGGCTCTAATGGTGTCTGTGGAACCAGAAACCACCCCTACTCCTAATCCTCCATCTACAGAAGAGAGGAAAACAGAATCAAATCAGAAGTTGTTAATGCAGAACACTGTGTGAAACATCCTCTACAGAATAGATGGACACCCTGGTGTTTTGTTTTGTTTTGTTTCTGGTTTTTTGAGACAGGGTCTCACTATGTAGTTGAGACTGACCTGTAACTCACTATGTAGCCCAGGCTGGTCTTGTGGACACCCTGGTTTTTAAAAAATGGTCAAAGTAAAACATGGCAAGAAAATCTTTGATTTACTCTAAGTTTGATAATGTTGAAGACCTCTGGGCTCTGTACACATCCAATTGTCTGGTAGTTTAATGCCTTGCTGTGGCTGCTCACTTTTTAAAGATGCTATTAAGCTCACATAGAAAAATGAGGCAAACAAATGGGTAGATTGATGAGTAATTACATTGACCAAACAGCAGAGATGTTTGGCAAGAGACCCTGGTGTACCTTATTGGAGAGTCTTTGATAACTACAGTGATGATGTATATAGAGCTGTTGTTAATATTAGAACTAAGATGATAAGATAGCAATATGGACTAATGAATGTGAAAGCAGATGCTAACATACAGAGAAGTGTACAAGGAAAGGTTAGGACTTCCTCCAAACAGTGATTGGTTATTAATCCTATGCAGATACAGCTACTAAGAGGAGCTTCATCACTAAAATAAGTTTAAGAGGATACCTCTGAGTGTCAAAGGATAATTCACAAAGGAGACTGTCAAATCTGCAGATTTAAGAGTTGAACTAAAGTCTCTACGAAAGCAGAATGAACTGAATTAAAATTTGATTCCATCTAAATGTTATTAATATATAATAAGAGAAGTCTCATTCATCTTTGTCTAGTACTGTACTATATCTTTTTATTGTTTTTTTCTGGTGTGGGGGTTGAGACAGGGTTTCACTAAATAGTTGAGACTGGCCTGAAACTCACTATGTAGCCCAGGCTGGTCTCAAACTCACAGAGATCCTCCTGCCTCAGCCTCCTGAGTGCTGGGATTACAGGCATGTGCCACCATGCCCAGCTTTAGTATCATACTTTAAAAAATTTTTTTTGCTTGAGTTTTCAAAGAATCATAGTTCACATCACCCCCAGAAATCCGTAAATGCGTTTCTATTCCACTTATCATAGCTTAGTAGAATTACTATTTATAAACAAGTTTCACTCATCCATGATATTCAAAAAAAAGAACTTACATACCTCAAAAAGAAAAAAGTTCTCTTATGTTCCATTATATACCTGTGCATATTTTGTTAGTTTGAAAATAGTGTGATGCCTATGATTTTTCTAGCAATTTTTTTTTTTTTTTTTTTTTTTTTTTTTTTTTTTTTTTTATATTAGGGATAGAACTCAGGACCTTGTGCCTGCCAGACAGGCGCTATGCTGCTCAGCTAAATCCCCAGCCCTTCTAGCAATTTTCTTTCTTTATACATCATTATCTTTGTTGTATTTTTTCCAGAGGATCCAGAAATATGACACAAAGGTGGAACAAACATTAATTTTGTGCATTCTTTGATAATTTTCTTTGTTGTAACTATAAAGCTTTGCTACAGATTTGTGCATTTCATTTAAATTATTGATATAAGTTTGTGTGGTTTCATAATCATAATTGTGAATTACTAAAATAATCACTAGAATTAGTGTCTGTTTTTGTATCTTTATGATATATTTTAATACTTCATATTATTTAGCTTATTTTGCTTTGATTAAAAATGTGTGAAGTAAAACAGTAGTCTCATTTATGTTGATAATGTACAAAACTAAAATGTGTACAATAAATTATCTTTTAGACAACTAAAAAATAATAATAAAGAAAAGCTGGGGATGTTGCTTCAAGTAAAACTTGCAGAAAAGAAAAAGAAAGAGAAGGGGCTGGTGATTTAGCTCAGTGGTTCGACCGCCTGCCTTGCAAGCACAAGGTCCTGAGTTCAATCCCCAGTACAACCCCCACCCCCCAAAAAAAACAGAGAGAAAGAAAAAAGAAAGAAAGAAAAAGAAAAGGAAAGAGAAATATAAAAGACAGCAGGGACCTGCTAGTAAATGAGCAAGAAAACTTTTCTAGTCATTTTATGCCAATCAAATATGCTTATTGCTTGATGGAATATAAATCATTAGAATAACTTTTCTTGTGTAGAATTGAATCAATGAATATTAATTTCATGTTGCTCGTGGTTCATATTTTTCTTTTTAATATTGCAATAATAACTACTTATTCTCTGTGTAGTAAGATTTATGACATGAATGACAGTTCATAAGTTAACTTTTGTTTAACTTGTAACACTAATTCTGTGTATTTGACCAGGGATTTAGCTCAGTGGTTCCACCACCTGCCTCACAAGTGCAAGGTTCCAAGTTTGATTCCTGGTACCAAAAGTAAAACTAGTTCTATGTATTAAATGTAGAAAATGAATTATTTCAAATATGCCATATGTATCTGAAAAATCAAAGCAGTCTTTGGTGTCTTCTGTTACACCTGTATGGATTATCTAGTTTGCCTCATGTGGAAATAAAAATGAACAGAAGACAAAGACAGGTGTTTGTATGCTGTAACAAAATTGAAGACAAAATACCAACAAATAAATGACAACTGGGAAAAATATCAGTTTGTTTACCATATAAAGAACACTTAAAAATCAGTGAGGTACACAGTTAATAATGTACAATTTTTATGTTGTTGTGTAACAGTTAAAAATATTTATTTTAAAATCATCATTAAAAATAGGCAAAATAGGCCAGGCATGGTGGCGCATACCTGTAATCCCAGCACTCGGGAGGCTGAGGCAGGAGGATCTCTGTGAGTTCGAGACCAGCCAGGGCTACATAGTGAGTTCCAGGTCAGTTTCAACTACATAGTGAGACCCTGTCTCAAAAAATCAAAAAAAGAAAAAAAAAAGAAAAGAAAATTTCTGTTAGATGGAAGGGTCCAACACCTACCTTCCTATAGCCAGCCACTCAGATGTTGCACAGAAAACCTTCAGATTACAAGTTTACAAGCCTTTTGTAACTATTTGGTTGTTTATGTTTACTTAAATGGCTTCATGTTGTGGGGCCCAGCCTCTGCCCATGTCACCCTGTTTCTTTGGTGTTGCTTCTTTTCCTGTCTTCAGCAAAATAATCCTGGGACCATATGGGGGTACTTTGCCTCAGAAAGTTCTTGTCAGTGAGGACAGAGTGTTGATAGACAACCCCCTGCTCTTCATTGGCTCCTCTCCTGGAAGGACCTTGCACCCCAGGTGCTCAGCCTGCTGGTGGTGGCAGAGCCAGTGCCTTGGTGGGGCTGACACGCTGGTGGCAGCATTTCCCTCCCACGCCCGCCAAGGAGGGCAGCTTTGGTTCTCATCGCTTCACCTCTTGGCCTTGCCTTCTCACCTCCCATTGCCCCTGTGGCCTCCCATTTCTTCTTCAGCTACATTCATAGTCAGCCATCTGTTTGGTGTCTGTTCCACCAGGACTTTGTGGGTGCTCAGTGAAAACAGGGGTCCAGGCAGGTGGGTGTCCCTGACTGCCTCTGGGCTTTGGCAGTCCTGGCAGCCTTCTGAGGCGCTGTTGGTACCCTTGGTAGAGCACGGCAGGTACATCCATTCTTTCTGACAGGAAAACATTCATGTTTCAGACTTTGGAGTGAGCATTTTTAGGAAAAGCATAATGGTTAGTGTTTTGCTACTGAGAATCTTAAAAACCAAACCCAGGATGTCTCTTGTTGATCCTCATTACAGTGCTCATAGTGTGAACCTGACCGGATGAGGATATCCTCAGTCTGTGTTGGGTTTCTTCTGTTTTTCTTTCTTTTCTCGTATTTCTCTTTGCACTTCTGATGCCAGATAAGTCTGGCCAAAGATCTGATGTGGTTCCCCCTTCAGCTGTGTCCAGTTAATAGGTACTGTTCCAGGCTCCATGTGTCATTGGGGTAGTAACTGTAATTTAATACTGTTCCTAATGTTTCATTTTACTAGAAAGAAATCTTTGATTTCCTTTTATTCTTTGTAATTTTAGACACTAGACTGTAGTTTAGCCATTACTGAAACTTTTTAAAAAAGGGATATATTTTCTTGCATAGCTATTCAAAAAAGACAAGTTTTGGTCCTCAATGCTGTTATGGATGGGGTGTTCTGTACTAAATTGTTACATTGTATCAAAAGTTAAAGACTTTAGTACAATAATAAAGGTCAATTTCTGTAAAAAAAAAAAAAAGAAAATTTCTGTTAAAGAGTAGATTTTACCTCCCCTTGTTACAAAAAAAGCATGTTAAGATGATAGATATGTTAATCTGCTTCAGTGTTGTAACTATTTTACCATTTGTATGTATCCTGTAACATGTTGTACACTTCAAATACAATGAAATACAAATTTTATTTATTAAAAATAAAACAGGCAAAGGATAAAAGAAGTCATTTATAGGCTTAATCTGGGTCCACACAGAAACTCTGACCATTTGAATGGTTAAGAATAATAGCTAACATCTCTTTTATACAGGCACTAAGCCTTTTTCATGTGTTAATCCTTTCAACATTTTTATAAAGCGCATATTTTTATTAGTAGTCCTGTATTACACATTAAGGTTAAGGCCAGAGAGATTAGTGCTTTATCAAAGACATAGAATATATTTTGTTTAATTATCCAAAATATCCAAGAGTTTGAATTTTGGCTGAAGCCTTTCATCGCACCTCTTTGTTAACTAAAAATAGAGGGGTCAGTCATATTTTTACCACCAAATGCATTACTTATTTTCTGTTTGTTTGATTTTGAGACAAGATCTTTTTATATAGTTCAGGCTGGCCTTGAACTCACTATGTAGCCCAAGCTGGCCTTGAATTTGTGGCAATCCTGCCTCAGCCTCCCAAGTTCTAAGATTACAGGTGTGTGTCACCATGCTGTACTCAAATGCATTTTCTTAATTCTTTTGTTCCTGTGTGTAATTTCCTGGTGACAGTATTGTTACATTGTTAGAGTCATATTACAGAAACTTCTTACAAGATTATATTTGGATTGACGGATTGACTATATTTAAAACCCCCAAATTTACATTAAAAACTACTATAAGAATGGTCTGAGATACCCCTCCCCCAGTCTTTTTGAGGTAAGGTTTTGCTGTGTAGTTCAGGCTGATCTTGGACTCATGTTCAAGCTCCCAAGTGCTGGACAGGAATGTGCCACATGTCCTATTGAAATAGGTTCTCTTGAGTGTTGATTATGGTAACCCTCAAGGCTAGTCTTTAAAGTATCTTCCCAGTGCAGGACTCCCTCAGCTAAGGCTATCCTACACATGACTTAAGGTTGATTAACAAATTGTAACTTTGTATGTGCTGTATAGATATTAAATGACACTATTGAGACCTTGTGTTATAAGATGAAGGCATTATGACTTTGTTTTCAGGACATCATCAACTGCATAGGTGGATTGAATGTACTCTTTCCTTTACTGGAGCAAATCAGCCACTTGAGTGAAGAAGGGCAGATTGCCGAAGGAAGGTGTGAAAGCACAGTTTCTGAATCAGTTGGTCCTGTAGAGGGAGATAGCGTCATGCTGACCTCCTCAAAGGCATCAGGTATTAAGTTGGAATTAACACAAGAGTGTTCATTGAGATATTTGAGAATTATTTGAAAAATAAATTTAAATATCTTATTACCATTAGGAAGAAACTTAACCACTTTATAGCTGTAGCAGCTATACCTAATTTTACTAATATAATTCAGGAAAGTTATAATACTTTGATCAAAATACTAAAGATGTTGGTTTTATTCTTGACTTTTAGTTTATACATCTGATGGAAGAAGGACCACATTGTGAAATTTGTGGTAGAGAAATATTGTATGTGTATGTAAGAATACAGTGTATACTTGCAATTTTTTCCAATTCCATTTGTACAGCAGCTTGAGAAGCAGACTACTGCTCAGCTAAATTTTTTGTTATAATATGTATTATGAAATAGGGTGATTAATTGATATTAACATGTTCCCATTTTGACAGAGTCAAGACTAGAGAAAAATCTAGTGGCTACATTTATCTTGATTATGAAACATCTTATTCAGAGACACCCTATCAACCAGGACAACCTTATTCACTCTCATGGAGTTGCAACTCTTGGTGCCTTACTTCAGAAGGTGAGACGCATCTAATATGGTGTTAATATACTAATGATTTTTATTAGAAGTTGGTGTTGAGATTATTTTCTTCCTATTGAATAAATATATTAAAAGATCACACTATTATAGATTATTAAAAGATTGCAATTTTATAAGTTATTAGTAGATATAAGTGATTTCACTGGCAGCTTTAAAAGCTTCTATGGAATCATCTAAAAAAGAATTACTTATTTTAGGCTGGTACGTGCCTATAAGCCTAGCACTTGAAGCCGGAGGATAGCCATTAGTTGAAGGCCAGCCTGGGTACATAGTGAGTTGAGGGCCAGCCTGGGCTACATAGCAAGACTCCATCTCAAAAGACCAACCAAACAAAAAAGAATTACTAATTCAGGTAACACTATATCCCTCTGTAACCTTTGTTCATTGGCTTTTATATTTGCTATTCTTTTTTATTTTCCTTCTTGAGGCAGGGTCTTGCTATATAGTTCAGGCTGACCTTAAACTCAATGTGTAGTCCAGGCTGGTCTCGAACACATAGCATTCCTCCTACCTCAGCCTCCTGAGTGTGGGGATTGCAGGTGTGTGCCACCATGCCTAGCCCATATTTGGAATATTTGAGAAGCGTAAGACTATTTTAGGCATATAACATTCAGAAAATATGTTCTAGTATTATATCAGAAAAATAGATGATTGAGTTCTTTATATTTTTCTGCTCTATATTTTTCCATTTGTTAGATGTTTGGAATTAATGTTTTGAAAGTATAGTTTAATGATAGTTATTTAAACTGAATTTTATAGAACCCTCTTCCATTTGTTTTAAGGTACCAGGCCCCTTAATGGATGTTAATGTACTGATGGCAGTTCAACTACTAATTGAGCAGGTATCCTTGGAGAAAAATATGCTGCTCCTGCAACAAATGTACCAATATTTACTTTTTGACTTCCGGGTTTGGAATCGTGGAGATTTTCCCTTCCGAATTGGTGAGAGCTGGCTGTTGGATCCAGTGTTACAGTTATTTTAGAAATTTGCAACTATGTGACTTTATTTTAGTTATATCATTTACAAGTGAACTTTCTGTTTTAGGTCATATACAGTATCTTTCGACAATCATTAAAGATAGTAGGAGAGTTTTCCGAAAGAAGTATGGTGTGCAGTTTCTCCTAGATACACTTAGGATTTATTATGGGTATGATGTCCTTGCTTCCTTCTTGGTTTGCTGTAGTGTTTCCTGTCTGTTAATTGACTGGTAGCTTTTTCTTTACCAGAAATTTTGTTATCTTTTGCCTTCAAAGAAGCTGGATAGTGCAAAGGTTAAAATGATAAACATTTACATATACATTATGTTTGAATATTCTGTGTACATTAGATTTGACTATTGGTTTCATAAATAGCATGGCAATAGGCAAATTGTTCAAATTTTCTATGCTTGAATTTCTTCGTCTGTGAAGAGCAGATTAAAACTATGGCCTCCTATAGTAATTTCGAGAATTAAATGAGTGAATGTTTTCAATAAATACAGCTGTGTTTGCCACATCTTAAGTGCTGTATAAACGGAAGCTGTCTTAATATTTTTTTAATTTTTGTTATCAAAACTCTTGAAAAGATTTTCCTTAAAAAGAAATCACAGGTACCATGATTCTAATAACTACATGATTCTTTTTTAAACTATGTATTCCTTTATGTTAAAATATAAAAGTATTAAAATTTCAATCCATTTTTGTGTTCTCTTTCAGGAGTGGTTGTAAATATAATGAGCTATCTCTAGATGATATCCGAACAATAAGGAGTTCTTTGTATGGATTAATTAAATATTTTCTGTGCAAAGGTGGAACTCATGACGAGATACAAAGTATTATGGGTTACATAGCTGCTACAAATGAAGAAGAGCAAGTATGCCTATGTTTTCTAACATTTAAGTTGCCCTATCTCATAAAATTAAAAGTTTGTTTTAATTATTTCACTAAAAAGGTATATTATGATATAATATTACACAGGTAAGTAAAATTTATCTAGTAAATGAAAGTTTTAATAAATATGAATGTCATGTAATTTAATACCATTTACAGTAGTGGGGATCCAACCCAGGGGTGCTCTATCACTGAGCTACTTCCCTACCCTTATTTTATTTTAAGATAGGGTCTTAGCCATGTGTGATTATACATACCTGTAATCCCAGCACTCTGGGAGGCTGAACCAGAATATGAACCCAGCCAGGGCAACTTAGCAACTAAACAAGAAAAGACCCTCTCTCAAAAAACAAAAAACAAAGAAAAACAAAAGAGAAATAAAAAAATAGCTAGAGATATACCTCAGTTCACAGGATCTGGTCTAATCCCCAGGACTAGAATGAATGGATGATTATCAGTGAATCTCACTGAGAGGTCCACACTGGCCTTGAACTTTCAGTCCTCCTAGCTCTGCCTCCAGAGTACCTAGGATTAAAGGACTGTGTCCCATGCCCAACTTATTTAATAATTAGTTATAAAACATAGTTTTTGAAAATACTTGTTGTGTCTGATCCATTTGTTGTATGTTTACCTATCAGAGATACAGTGTAGATTTTTAACATAACATAGTTTCACAGACGTGTTGCATAAAGATTAAACTGAATATATTTCTATTTTTTAAAAACTTTTACATACATCCCTTCATTTAATCCTCAAAATTGTTCTTTAAGGGCTAAATCCCCACCCAAGGCAGTGATTCTTTTTTTTTTAATATTAATTTTATTGGCACATTTAATGTATACAAAATAATGACATTCAATGTTGGATATTTGTACCTTGACATAATTAATCTTGGTTCTTAATTTTTCCCCATTCTCCTGTCCTCCCTTCAACCCCTCCCTCCGTCCCCATCTGCAAAGACTTTGTTTCCATTATTTTTCATTTTCTCATTTAATTCCATTCCCTTCTTTCCTTCTCCTGCCACTCCTGTTTCCCCTTCCTCTTTGTCCCTTTTCTTCCTATTTCACATTATCTATTATACCTTTCAGTCCTTATCTACACTTTCGGTTTCTCACACTAGAGAAACTATTCTGTATTTACACATTTGAGTCCTATTTATATCACTTATGAGTATTGCCTAATTGTACATCCATTTAGCTATCAATGTGTCTAATTTCTCATTTTTATGGCTGTGTAGTATTCCATTTTAGTTTCTTTTTAAAACACATTTTTCTTTATCCAGTCTCCCATTGATGGACAGTTGAGCGGCTTCCAAGTTTGAGCTATTACAAATTGTGCTGCTATAAACATGGGTGTACACATATCATTATGATATGATTCTTTTAATTCTTTAGGGAAAATACCCAGGAGGGGAATAGCTGGGTCAAATGGGATTTCCAATCCGAGTTCTTTGAGGTGTCTCCATACTGCTTTCCACAGTGGTTGCACCAGTCTACATCCCACCAATAGGGGGGCAGTGTTCCTCTTTCCCCACATCCCCTCCAGCATTTGTTATTGGTTGATTTCATGATGTCAGCCATTCTTTCTGGGATGAGGTGGAATCTCAGTGTTATTTTTATTTGCATCTCTTGAATGACCAGTGATGTTGAACATTTTTTCATATTTATTTGCTGTCTCTACTTCTTTGAGAAATGTCTGTCATTTCAGATGCCCATTTTTGATTTTGGTCTTTAAATTTGGGAGGTCTGATTTTTAAAATTTCTTTATGTATTCTAGATAGTAGACCTTTGAGGAACAGCTATTGAAAATTTTTTCGTGCATCGTAGGTTGTCTTTTCACACCTTTTTCCTGTGGGCGGTTTCTCTTGCTGTGCAGAAGCTTTTTAATAAGAAGACATCCCACGTGTTGAGTGATTGTGCTAGCTCATGGGCAACTGAAGTTTTATATATAAAATCTTTTCCTACACCAGTGTCTTCAAGAGTTCTACCTACCCTTTCTTCCAGCCAGTTTAGTGTTTCTGTTTTAATGTTTAGATCTTTAATCCATTTTGATTGAAGTTTAGTGCATGGTGAGAGGTATAGGTCTAGTTTTAATCTTTGGCAAATTGAAATCCAGTTTTTCCAGAACCATTTCTTAAAGAGGCTATCTTTCCTCCAGTGAGGTTATTTGGCTCCTTTATCAAAGACAAGGTGGCTGAGTGTGTCTGGATTTTTAATATGGTCCACTGGTTCTCAGGACTGTTTCTTTGCCCAGTACCTTGCTGTTTTTGCTTGTTTGTTTGGTTCTGGTACCAGGGATCAAACTCTGTCCTTGTACTTTCAAGGCAGGCAATGGCACCACTGACCTAAATCTCTGGTGCCATGCTGTTTTTATCACAGTGGCTTTGTAGTATAGTTTCAAGTTGGGGATTGTGATATGCCTTAACTTCTCTTTATTATCTAAAATTGCTTTTGCTATTCTAGGTTCTTCTTGTTCCAAATGAAATTTTGAATTGTTTTTTCAAGGTCTGCAAAGTATGCTGCTGGGATTGCACTGAATCTATATAGTAGTTTTGGAAGTATGGAAGTCTTTCCATTTTCTTATATCCTCTTCGATATCTTTTTTCAGAGTGCTATAGTTTTCAGAGTAGAGGTCTTTGATTTCTTTTGTTAGGTTGATTCCTAGGTGTTTCAATTTTTTGGATGCTATTGTGAAAGGAATTGATTGCCCCATTTCTCTCTGAGTGAATCTGTTTTCTGTATACAGAAAAGCTATTAATTTTTGGGTGTTAACCTTGCATCCAGCTACTTTACTGAATCTGTCAATTAAATCTAGAAGTCTTTTGGTGGAGTTTTTTGGGTCTTCTATATAGAGTATCATATTGTCAGCAAATAATGACACTTTAACTTCTTCCTTTCTTATCTTTAATTTTTTTGTTGTTGTCTAATTGCTGTGGCTAATATTTCCAAAACTATATTGAGCAGGAGTGGTAAGAGTGAACGCCCTTGTCTTGTTCCTGATTTTTAACATGAAGGATTTCAGGTTTTGATTATTTATTATGATATTGACTGTTGGTTTTTTATAGATGGCTTTTATCAGATTGAGGTAGAGATCATCCATTCCAGTTTTCTGTAGGGTTTTTTTTTTTTTAATCATGAATGCATGTTGGATTTTCTCGAATGCTTTTTCTGAATCTATTAAGGTAATCATATGGTTTTTAATCCTTGGCTCTATTAATATAGTGCATTACATTTATTGAGTTACATATGTTGAATATGTTGAACCATCTGTGCATCCCTGTGATGAATCCCACTTTTTTTTTGTTGTTGTTTTTTGAGACAGGGTCTCACTACATAGTTGAGACTGATCTGAAACTCACTATGTAGCCCAGGCTTGTCTCAAACTCACAGCGATCCTCCTGCTTCATCCTTCTCAGTGCTGGGATTACAGACATGTGCCACCACGCCCGGCTGTATGGTCTTCTGCATTATATTGCCAGTATCTTATTAAGGATTTTTGCATCTATGTTCATTAGTGAGTTTGGCCAAAGTTCTCTTTTTCGGTTGGGTCTTTCTCTGCTTTGGGATCAAGGTGATGCTTGCTTCCAGGAATGAATTTGGGAGTATTGCTTCCCTTTCACTTTCCTTGAAGAGTTTAAACAGTAGTGGAAGTAAATGTCTCTCTAAATGTCTTGTAGAATTCAGCAGTGCAGCCATCAGGGCCTGGGCTTTTCTTATTTGGTATGTTTTTTTAGTTTTCAATTTCATTGATTACTATTGGGTTGTTTAGAATTTTTAGGTCATCTTTGTTCAACTTTGATAATTCATACGAATATAGGAATCTGTCCATTTCTTCTGTATTTTTCATCTTATTAGTGTAAAGGTTCTCAAAGTAGGTATTGACTATCCTCTGGTTTTCTGCTGGGTCTTTCGCAGTTTCACCCTTTTCATTCCTAATTGCATGGACTTGGGCCTTTTCTTTCCTTTTTTTGATAAGGTTGGCTAAGGGTTTGTTAATTTTGTTTATTTTTTTGAAGAGCCAACTCTTGGCTTCATTCTTTTTTGTTTTTGTTTTTGTTTTTTGGTATTGTTCTTTTAGTCTCCATTGCATTGATTTCTGCTCTGATTTGTGTAATTTCCTCCCTTGTATGAACTTTGGGTTTGTCCTGTTCTTTTTATTCTAGAAGCTTGAGATTTAGCATCAGGTTTTTAATTGCACTTGCTCTGTTTTCCTAATATGTGCTTTCACTGCTATGAATTTCCTTCATAAGACTGTTTTCATTGTGTCCCATAGTTTGCATTGTCATTGTATTTAATTGTAGGAACTGTCTTATTTCTTCTTTAATTTCCTCTGTGACCCATTGGCTATTTAAGAGTGTGCTGTTCAATTTACATGTGTTTGTGAAATTCTTGCAGTTTCTTTTGCTGTTGCTCTCCAATGTCATTGCACTATGGTCTGATAATATACAGGGGTCACTTCAGTTACTTTGCACTTATATAGACATGTTTTATGAGCGAGAATGTAGTCTATTTTGAAGAACCACCCATGTGCAGCTGGAAAGAATGTGTATTTTGATTTTGTGGGGGTGCAACACTCTGTAAACATCTGTTGAGTCCATTTTGTTCAAGAGTCTGATTGAATTCTAGTATTTTGTTGTTTATTTTCTTCTTCTTCTTTTTTTTTTTTTT